TGTTTAGATAGCCTAGTCTTCATGTCTATTCACAATATTTGCCAATCTTCTGCCGTCTGCCATATGAAAAAGAAAGCTTTGAAATCTCTCCCCCGTCAATTTTTTAAATTAAATTTTTCATATAAGCCAGTATATCTATGAGTGTGGTCAACTAGTCTACGAAAATTTGTACAATAAAGTTATTCCTTGGGTAAAAAATTTCAATATATATCCGAGAATTGGTTTCAAAAGTGTTTTTAATTGGAAAAACTCTAAAAAAATGCGTTTTCTTTTTCAAAATTCGAATAATCTATACCTAATGCCAAGTAGCGAATAATATAGTTTGCGCATAGCTTCTTGTATTTTGTACCAATTAGGCTGGCTTCTTAAGAGTGCTTCTTAAGCCCAATTTATTGGCTTCGCATGCTTTTTGCTGATAAGCTGCTGATAAAAAACGTTTTGTAAGAAACGCTCTGTATTAAATTTCACTGCAAATAAGTAATAATAATAATGACCGCAAGTGAATATATTGTGCGGCAAAAAAGCCTCAATAAAATATCTTTCGGTTTTATGGAGACAAAAACAGCTCTTCTGTATGTTTTCTACTTTTGGTTTTTCTTAGATATGGACTGAAACTTGGAAGAAAAAAGGTCAAATGATATCAAGAAATTTTTCAGATTTCGTTTTTTTTAACTTAGCTTTAAATTGGCTATTTTTCATCACTCACCCTCTTTATTTTTAGTCCTTTTCTTGTGTCTGCAAGTGTCAAAACTTTTGCATAAGATTTTCTATGAAAAAAAAAACTGAATCAACCCAATTTTTAGTAAAATTGTCCAATAGTTATAACGGATAGAAAATTGGGATTATTCATTCCCTTCTATGGCAAATCAGGTTAAACAGTTTTCTCGAGGGACGCAAAACGACTCATTGATTCCCCAAGTATTCTTTATAACCTCTGTTCTAGCCATCTTTAGTGTAACTGTTGGTTCTGGTCTATTCAAACTGAAATTAGGAAACTGAAGGAGCTCAATTTGCCTAAAATTGTGGTTTTTTCAGCTCTTCTTGCTTTTTTCTAAGAATTGGGCTTGCAAGCCAACTTTTTTGAAGAATTGAGCTCATTCAACTCGGTACTTGACAAACGAGGACCAAAAATTTGGCCCTCAATTAGCTCTTTAATTAAACTCATTAGGTCTTTTTTTAGGAAACGGGCCCATTCATCCTCGTAGTTAAAAATTGGGGACCAAAAATTGAGCCCAGTTTGCTAAAAGTCAGCTCCTTTTGATGAAAATTAGGCTCGTTCAGCTCGTTTGTATGAAGTTTGAGCTCATTCAGCACCCTCCTTGGAAAAAAGAGACCAAAATATGGACCATGTTTGACCGAGTGCTAACAGATACTTTGGCAAAAATACCAGAAGACTGCCTTCTTATAACATTGCACTCAAAAGAAGAGAATAGTATAGAGTGCGCACATATGCAATTCAGAAACTTTAATAAAATTTAAACGTTATAAATAACAACGTGTTACAAGACAACTCAAGTTCAATACACAATTTGGAGTGATTTATAAACTTTGTAAACAATATATCAACTTGTATAAACGTTTTATGTTAAACACCAAAGCTTTAGTTTCAAAGATTTGCTCAAATTGCATTTATCGTACATCATCAAAGAAGTTCTACGCATTCGTTTTTTCAAACTTGTTTTTCGAACAATCTTGTTGTTCCGACTTTCGATACGAAAGTAACGGAATATTTCTGCTCGGGGTGGGTTTTTTTTTCTTCAGACAAATTTCGACTTTTTAACTAGCCATTTTTGACGGAATTTTTTTATATCATTCGAAAACTATTGTTGTCTTGAGCTTAAATTTGAACAGATATTTCACCTGTGATCATTTTTCGTAAAGTTACGGGGGTTTAACGATTGCCATTTTGGCCAATTTGGGACAATTAACGCGCGATATATTTCGCGTTATTAACGCGTAAGCGGAGAGTTAATCCATCTTAGAAATCGTTCCAAATTGGTTAAAAGAAGCCTATTTGCCATAATTGGTTTGTTAGAATGAGCGAAATCTATCCTTTTGTACTTTATATGGCGTGTGGGGGGATGATTTTTATTAAAAAAAAAACCTTTCAAAATTTAGAATTTTTTTTTTCCATTTTGTTTTATTTCATTGAATTTTTTAATGTTTTTACTGCTCCATAAACCTTAAAAGGCAGTCGGAACATTCAGGGCTTCGCCCTGATACGAGCAGTCTTGTATTGTTTTCGTGATGTTTGTATTTCGATCAACATAGCAAGTAATGTTTAATTGTGCAAATTGTATTCTGATCTACGTATCATAAAATACAATTTGCAATGTTACTGAAAATTTATATTCAGAAGTAAAAACCGTCAAAAGTTTTTGCAAAAATTTTTTCCATGTATATTAATGTGAACGAGATTTTTTCCAGGAGCATTAGAGTAAACCACAAAAAAAATTTCAAGTAAATTGTTTTTCTAAAATTGTTTTTAAAGCTATTTAGCAATTTTTGTGGAGCTTCTCGATGAGTTTGAAACAGAAATTGAGAATTTTTTGCAGTTACCTATAACAGCTGAATGTTTATTCATGAGTTCACTGGAGTCAATGAAAAAAAACACACATCACAGTTTCCAATTTTGTCGCAGTTGGCTCGCTGCATTTTTGCAATACCGGCTACATCAGCGGCAATCGAAAGAGTTTGGAGCTCAGCAGCACTGACAATTACTAATTGTCGATCACACAACTATCAGCCACTAACTTTAAACAATTGATTTTTGTTCTTGAGAATTACGTGCTTATTAAAAAGACGTACATGGCTGACTAATAACTATGTTTCAGAGTCCGTTTTTACAAGTTAAGAAAACCAAATTGATTTCAGCCGGCTGAGCCGCCGCCGACACTTTTCGCTCCGAGCCGCCGAGCATGCTCGGCTGAGCCGGCGCACGTCTCTAGAAGTTACCAACATAAAAATATTCGATTTAACTGGCTCAAAAAAGCTAAAAATTTTGAGCTTCCCTGATCCTAAATCGATAATGATATTGCAAATATTTAGACTCAAAATTAATGTGTTTTTAGAAAAAGTTAAGCTACAAATTCGAAATTAATGTTTTATTACAATTGTTGTAAATTGTAGTTACCATACAGTTTTTCAAAGTTGTTGATATGTTTTTTGGTAGTTTACAGTTCAAACGAGAGTTCGGCTGTCTTGTCAGCTCAGCTCAAAAAAATAACAATCTTTAATTTTTCTTTAATTTTTCCTCAATTTGCTCACAAGTATTCATCTAGACTTAGACTATCCAATCAAATTCGTTTATTAAACTCACTCCGATCAATTTCATCGAATTTGTTGCTAAATTCACCTGTTTTGGCAAAAAGTTCACTCAGTCAAAAATCTTGAAGTTCAAAACATTAAAATTGCATCGCCTTATGTGCATTAGATTCAAATATGTAACTTCTGCCAGTTTCATTGACGCAGCTTATTGAAAAATAAGAGAATCTTTTGCCATCTTAGCCTTTGCTTCGATGATTAGTTTTTTTTAATATTACTTAAAACTAGTTTTGTTTGCTTTATTAGTATAATTTGCGTTCTCCAGAACTGGTCAAATTGACTTCTAGACTACTTAGTAATTCTCATTAATTAGTTAAAGTACTTCAAACAAACTCAACCTATCAAAAGATCGAAAACAAGGCAATGTTAAATTACTTTTAACGTCAAAACTTCCTTCTTTCATATATCGAATGATTTTTCACATTAAAATATTTATTTATGCGCCATGAAAAGAATATGTTGAGTGCCTGCTCATACTTAACATATAGTCTTAACATCACGTTGAAGTTAAAATCAAAACCAAACCCCATGTTTAATTGAACCGCTTTCACTTTTTTGAACTGAAGTTGACAAGTTGCCGGTAGCAAAGGATAGAAAATCACTTGAAACAGTCTCGCAGTTGTCTATAACTGTCTCCAACTGTCGCCGGAATGGATAAAATCATGTTCACACATCAAACTGAAAACACATTTGATCCCTTTTGTGAACTCTTTGTTTTTTTGGAATTTTACCTCTAATTTCTCGTCATTATTTTTTGGGAACGCTGAATCAAAATTTTTCTTCAAAGAAAAAAAGTAAAGAAAAAAATTGATGTTGTTATGGTGAAAAAAATTTGAAATTTGAAAAGAAAATTTTTTAAACGATCTATGAAAAAAAACCATTTAGTACAGGGGCGGATTTAGGGGGGGGGGGGCGGGGGGGGGGGGGGCGGACGCCTCTCCCTCAGGGATTCGACCCCCTGCCGACCCAAAGGGTCCCCCCTTTGATACTTTTTCAGAAATCCCTTTTTGGCCGACCGACCCTTAAATTTTTCTAAAGGCGCCTTTGGCGCCAATATATACTAACTTTGAGGGGGAGCGCGCGCCAAAAAAACGCGATTTTTTTGTCAAAATTTTTCAAAAATTGCCCAAAAACGGCTTTTTTGACTGTTTTTTCAAAAATTTGCCTGCGGCGCAGAAAATTTAGCCAAAGTAGGGGCAAAACAGTGCTTTGGGAGAGCTCGAAAAATCAATTTGGTCGACCTAAAAAAAAAAAAAGGTCGTCAAAATTTTGGAAAATTTTTTGAAAATCCGCCCCCCCCTCGAGAAAATCCTAGATCCGCCCCTGATTTAGTATCTGAATTTTTCCGGCTTTCTTGGCAATTCTTGTGTTTTACCGATGATCTAATATCCACATGTGTCTTTGCCGGGAAAAGTTTTGCGCAATTTTTTTAAAACTTTTTTGAGGTTTTGGTCAAACTAGATTTTGGCAGATGGCGCAGGGCCAACTTATTTTGTTTCTTGGTATCAAGTGCGCAAAAAATTTTCATTTTTATATGAAACTGTATTCTATTACCAGAAACGATGAGTCTCAGGAGCAATACTATTATCCCTAATAAGCGACGGAAACCACCATTTTAAAAATTTCCGCTGACTACATATATGATGTGAAAGTAATTATTATTTTGTTTGTTTCAGAATGAGCCGGAGCAGAAAATGAAGACAACAATCTGGTTGGTCAGAGTTAGTATCGATATCTCATAAATTTTTATTTACAACGTTTAGCCACACTTTATTGGTATAACCTACTATCGCCTAGGTCGTATGTTTGTCACTCATAGATTATCGATGGCGTGGTGCTGTCATTGTAAAGCCCAGGGGCGGATTAAGGGGGGGGGGGGGGGGGGGCGTGGGGACGACACAAGTTCAAAAGTTCAGTCACAAGGTCAAAAACAGTCGTCTGAACATATACTATTCAGATTTAAACCGGCAAATTAAGGATAAAAATGAGTTTTTATTGAAAACTATTTTCAATTTCTGTTTTGCTATTGAAATAGCTCTTCAGTCTCTTTAACAGGCAGTTTATTATCGCTATATATTTTCCACTTCGAAACAAATCAAAAAAATAATAAGGAAATCAAAAATTTAAGTTTTTTTATATTCAAAAATGGGACAAGCTCAAGTATTTCAAAGACAAATCGGGCTCGCTGTTAATTTTTGGTGACTTATATTGGAAGGTGTAGAGCTACGAAGCATGATAGAACGAAACTGTTCGTATATCAAGGCAAAACCTTGAAAACTTAAAATGCCTCTTATTTGGTCTCGAATAGTCTTTGGTAGAGAACGTATTGAAAATTCATAGTTATGGGCAAAATTAAACATCAATAGAAAACTTGAGTCGCGAACTTGGGATGAGCTATTAGTTTTAATCAAGCACAAGTACTGAATATTCTGACTGTTCTATAAATAATCTATGTTGTTTCAAATTTTTTAATTTTTTTTGCAAATCTTTTGTCCTTTTGCTACACCAATAACAGTGTGATAGTTTTTTCATATTTTAACGCATTGTTATGACTAGTCAACTCACTTTATTTGAGGGGTTGTTCAACCAAGCCGAAGATAAAAAAGGGCCTAAACTGAAAATGTATTTATTGGTCTCAGAAACTGATCATATTTATGATTTTTGAATTCCTTTTGCGAACTAATTGCAGGTGGAAAATTTTGCCCCGTCCTCAATAATCAAGCAGAGATAGCAGTGGCCTCGAACCAGTAAACACTTTATAACCTCATTCAAATGATTTTTTTTCGTGGCCATAGGAGTGGAAGGATCATTTTCTCTGCTGGGATCCCGCAGACTTCAACAACATTTCGGACATCAGATTGGAGTCCTCAGAGATATGGACACCAGACCTTGTGGTAACCAACGCGTGAGTAAAGCCTTACTCCATTACACATAGTTGGTGTTAGGATAGAGCCATTGATAACGGAAAAGTATAAAATGAATTAATTATAACATTTTTAAATCGTTTTGAACAACAAAGAGTTTTTTTTTGGCGAAGTGCAATTTAAAGTTCATTCCTTCTGATGTTTTTTCGATTGAAACTTTCTTTCATCTTTTGATGAAAGCCAAATACCTGATTTTGTTGCCAGCTTCCTGAACTTAATCTTATCAACGGAAACAAGAAACAATTGATACACTTCAAAATTTAATTTCACCAGCCAGTTGTGATAAATCAGTGGGTTTTAACTAATCAGACACGTGATATCTTTCCTTCACGGTCTAATACCTCTCCTCTGAGTCCCCTTGTGGCCAAATTAAAGGTGAGGACACGCCGGAACAATAACTGTTTCAGATAAAGTTCAGTTTGAAAACTGCTCTACAAGCAAATATTTCTCTTTTGGCCCAATTCGGTTAAAAACTGCTTAATTAAATTTTTAATGGCAAAAAAAAATTTGCGAAATATTCCATAAATTATGTTCGAGTTTTACTGACAATTATTGCTGATCGGTTACTTGATTAAGGTTCTAGCATGTTATCGAAAAGTGGTCGCCGTTTTTGATATTTTGGAACCTCCCGGATTTCTGGGGTTCCTCTACCACGATGATGGTGTTTCAGTCAAAACTAAAATTGAAATGATAGTTTCTCTCCTTTTTATCAATCGCTACTTGCTCTAACATCATGGCCACTTGAATTCGATGAAGAATGTTTAGTAGCAGATTTCGAGTTCTTTGTCCATTTCTGAACTAAAGAATTGAGAATTTTGCTCATTCAATCAGTCGTAAAAAAAAATTGATAGCACTAATGATTGATTCTCTCCTAGTTTTGTTTGCCAAACTTCGCCTTGAGAAAGCACTAAATAAAGCCATAAAGCAAGGGATTGTTGTCTTATTAAAAAGGAGGTGAACTAGCCCATGATTATTCAGATTGAGGTCAACTACAAGGCCGCAATTTTTCCAAAGCAACATTGGTCCAAATTAGTACACTTATAGTTTTTCTGTCCACTACTGATTATTGGAATAAACTTTTTCTTGGGAAATGTTTAAGTTTTGTTTACTTTTTTTCCACATAAATTCAGAAACCACAATTAATTTAACAGAACGGTTGGAAAGATATATCAAACTAAAGTCCTTTCAATCGCGAGTCGATCAATATTTGAAAAGTGAAAAAATAGTTCAAACTTTCCTAAGAATTGATGAACATAGTTCATACATTTACTTAGGTCTTGATGGTTTTTCGTAACTGGACTATTGTGTTTAAGTTAATTCAGTCCCGGACAAAACTGTCCAAAGTTCCAAAATTGTCTAACACATTTGGTTCCCAGACGAAAATGACCTAAATTTGTCCGAAAACTGTCCGGCTCCTTGCCACCCTAGATAACACTCGGTCATGCAGGATCATGCTTCAATAAGCATCGGAGTTCTTCTGAATAAGCAGTTTCATTAAGTTATTGTATGAACTTAAATCATTTACACATATCTAAACAATTTTTGCTTGATTGAAGCTTTTGCCAAGCTCAGGCATGGCTGATTCTAGTATCATTATTATTGCTCTCGAGTTTGTGATCCAAAATGAAAAATCTTATGAAAAATAAAAACGAGTTTTGGTACCATGCTCCAAATATATTTTTATCAATTTTTTTTGGATCAAGTTTTATGAAAAGCTAAAAAATTGTCTAATATGACACTCATACTGTAGGTGCAATCTTTTCCTTCAAAACTTTTTTAAAAACATTACTGAGTCCCAAAAAACTCACGATATTCCCTTTTTAAGTTATTCAAATTATTGAGAAGCAAGTCAAAATTAAATTTACCGCCATTTTCAGGGAAAACAAATTAATAAGATCATTATGTCGTAAGTGTAATAATCTTGACCTAAGTAGACGACTGAACCAGTCCAAATAATTTTTTGACATTGGAAAAAACTTGAGCGAAAAGGATCGTCTTACAACCGTTCTTTGATTGCTTTCGTAACAACGAATTTACGTGAAAAAAATGAAAATAATAAGCAAAAAAATAAGCAATGAAAAAAAGAAAAGCAAATGAAAAAAAAATGAAAAAAAAAAAAATCAACGAAAAATAACAATGCTCAAAAAATAGATAGCAGAATCATTTGAACTAAAAAATGTTTTACCAAGGATATATATTTGTTGTAAAACTTTGTTTGAATCAGGAAGCTAGATAGCAATATGAAATTACAATATTTTTACACAAAAGACGGAGATTCGGTTTGTAACATTTTGATAACATATTGTAACATAAGAAACTTTGACAAGGGTTAAAGAGAACGCTATTTAAATGTAGCTACAACAACCATAAAAAAATTTTGAATTAAAAGTCTGAATAAACGTTTTGAATTTTTTCTATCTTTTTTTTAGATTTTGTCATAAAAATTTGCGGTTGGTTTTTTTAAATTTATTCTTTCAATTGTGTATCGACCACTATATAGTTTCGGAAGAAACTATGGCGTAAATTGGGTTCTTTGGCCGTACTCGTTGTATTTTGGCCTTCTTTAAAAAGCTTGCTGAGATCAGTTGATGAAGCAAATCAAATTTGTTTCAGTAGTTATTGGAATTCTATGTTTGAAAGCTTAGAGTAATCTGCGGGCTTAGACTTCAATTTAACGTAAAAGATCAATTGTATGGATGAAAAATATAAGGCTAGAAGGGTCGAAAAAAGGCTCAAGAACTAAATAGCTTAAGGGCCAAAATGTTCGTTCTTTACTTATTCACAAATGTTCAACAATGTAAACAGCTCCAATGTATTGAGAATTTTTCTAATACCAGCTTCTGAATATAAATCGTAGATAGAAAAATCTTTGTCTATGAAGACACTGTTTTCTTTACCCTCATGACTTTTGAACCGTTCCTTTGTCTTCGCTCTTTTGTACTTTTCACTGAAGACTTTGGGAATGATTGAAATCAAATAACCTGATTGTGACCTTTGGTGATAATCCTATTTGAAATTGAGATTAGTTATCGTTCCCGTTTTTCAGCCTTTTTCTTCGTAACTTGTACACACGGAGGTTGATCTCGTAACGATAGTGTCAAAACCATCAATCTTCAAAGGATAAATTCAGGCGAAAAACGTTTTTGTTGTTTCTTTCTTGTCGATTTTGATAAAAGCGTCTTTTCCACATACCAATGAAGTTTTGCATAAAGAACAAATGAAACGACCTAATACGAGTCAAAACGTAACTCAGTTTCTGTCATAACGTGCATTAAAGTGTCTTCAAATAAAAGCTTTTTGGCGGATTACTCTAAAGAATTTAAGCTTGTAGTTTGATTGACTTCAAAAGTAGACCTCGAACGAGAATTTTTTGAAAATGATTTCCGTAGCAAAAAACAGATATTTTTTTGTTTTGGGATTCATAATGCTATGAACATTGAATTCGTAGAATTCTTGAACTCACAAAGTAGGAATATGGAATATTGTTTTCAACTGACCAAAAAGTATGGAACAACATGGGATTCATATTTTTTCACACAAACCCAGCTGCCGAAAGCAAACTTCAAATTTCGTAGAGTGATATTTGATAATGAACTCCTTTCGGTGAATCGAGCTTTAATCAAAAATTGTGAAACCTTTTCTCGAGGTTAAGAAAAAGCGTTCTGGATTTATCAATCATCACTATCTTAATTTTACATCAGAACGATTCTCCCCTATCTTTCTCATACTAAAACATCACAAAACATATAACAACAGATGAATTCTAGAAATGAAAATGTTTCAGTCATGACTCATCAATCAAGCATCAAGGTAATTTGCGTCCATGTTTTATTGATGAAACATGGATGAACATTGTTAAAGTGGCATTGCAATATGAATGATACATAGATACAAAAATTGAACGAAGATCCATGATACTTTTCTGAATTGCAATGCAACTTCAACCCAGGAAAAAGCAAAAAAAAAAACGGTATTTGCAAAAAAAAATGTTTCGGATACATGGCCTTAAGAATCTCTTGGGATTTCGCTATAATCTGATTAGTAAAGATGACGGACTTCAAAAGCACATTATAAACGATAGATACAAATCTATGCCGATGACCGCAATACTGCTTATAATGTAACCTTTTCCTTTGCCCATTTGACGAGCCTAGAGCAAACGCGGAAGCGGCTGCCCACAATTATGATAGAATTTGATTTCTAAAATTCAATTGTTTTTAGTGTTACTCATTTCTTAATGACCCTTTACATTTAACAGCCATAAGAGCCCAAGGCACAAGCAAAAGCCCCGCTGATCCGTTAATGGGTTAGCGGCTGAAAAAGGGTTGATTGTGTTCACGCGTCCAGTCACGGTCAATTCCCAATAGCAGGTCACAGTAATTTGATTATAATATACAAGCGCAGCAAAACTATTTTTATTTCATGCGCACAGAACTAAAGGTCATACTATTTCAGAATATTTATCGCAGGAAAAAATTCAGGTTTTTATTTTTTTTTGCAAAACTATGTTTAGTTTACTATAGTGAGGGAATACGGCTGCTAGTTTTTTTTGGTCAAAATGTGAGTTATAACATGCCCATAACAACCTATGCACAAAACTTCCACTTTAATGCAATTGAATAGCAATTGATTATACTGTCACTTTATCAAAAATGACTGTAAAACAAATGATCTTCCCCAACTTGGATCAACTGCAAGCTTATGCTCCCTGCACTGGCTTTACAAGACTTTGTTTGCATGACACGTCCATGATAGGCGAAAAAAATACATGTTCGGCAAACATCAATGTGTTAATTTGGCGACAATTCGTAACAAGCGACAATTCGTAATAGGCGACAATTCGTAATTTTGTCAACGGCTACTATTCGTAACAAGGGACGATTTGTTCTAAGTGACAATTTGTATCGATAGTTGTTTTCATGTTCAACAAATAAAGGAAACATTTGAAAGCCTAATTGACATAAACAAATTGATGAAATTA